TTGTAATTAGAGCGATCAATTTCTGGACAAATACACAATTGATGACACAAAAATTCTGGAATATTAATAATATAACTTATTACCAGAAACAGAAAAGTCTACAACCATAGTTTGTTCCTATTTTATGTTCAGTTCCCCTCTTATTTTACAGTAAAATTTGATTGTTAAGGATTAAACTAATAAATTGAAAACAACCGGTTTTAATTCGACCTAGTAGACCTATGTTTCAATACATTGGCCTAAAGTTTTAACCTTTGTATGTTTAATTTTAGTTAATAAAATTTACTTAAAATTAAAATATTTTTGAAACCAGTATAGTGTTATTACCGAAGCACATTTCTTAAACTATTAAGCACGTCTAGAAGTACAATAGGAATACATATTTAAGGAACATTAAAAACTCATATAAATGTATGGTTTGGTTAGATGTATTGTTAAACATTTTATTGTTTTACGACCAAAAAATTATAACAGGTGTATTTTCCAAGTATTGGATTTTTTTTAAGACAGTCTTATACAAATACATAATGTTTACACAATAAAATTATCCATTCTTGTGTTCTCTGGAATGTATTTTTTTACAGCGGCCATGCAGGGAGCAGTGAACTATAAGACAAAGGACGGCAAGGCTCATTGCCATTCACACCGAGTACAACGTCCTCATGCGTGAACTCTGCCTACAAAATATCCCCTCTTCCGCGTGTCCACATGTTAAAATATGTGGCATTCCACATTCACATAAAAACAAAAACCGTATAAACAGTTCACGGAAAATCTTTGTTTAAAGCTAGGTCCAGTTTATCCAAGTCTGCACCACTTCATAAAGGTATAAAGAGGAACTTACCTGCTTGGAGAGGATTGTAAAGGACAGTCGCTTACTAATATGATTTACAATTCATGTCCTAGTTCCAATTAGTAATCCAGTACCTCTTTTACCTCTCTTTGGAATTTAACATCGGTACCAAACCAGATTAATTAAGTTCTTTCCTGGTAAGCTACATGCTGCGAAATACAGTACTGCTGTTACAGAATCGGGAAATTTGTGCATTTGTTGTACGATTAATTGTTACAAAAAAAATAAGAAAGAACCTTCGTTTAAAATTGCCATATCATACTTATGTAGAACAGGTATACTGTTGTATTTTGCTTGTTCATGGATACATTTTGATAAAATTTGTCAAATTTATGTATTTCACACTAAGCTTTTAACACATTTCAACAAAACCCAGTTTAATAACTTGTACATTGTAGCAGCAAAATAAATACTTGTTAAGACTGATGTTATGAATCTGACACAATTAAGGAAATATTTTTGTGAAAATCCAATCAGGCAAATGAAAACTCGCTTAGTCTGCAGGATTGCTGCAGTCAGGCTTTAGTTTTTTCTTTGAAAAATAAATTCCTAAAATCATTACTACTTGACACAGTTGAAATGATTGTCTTCGATGGTATTTGAAGTGGTTGGCATTTTAAATGAAGTCTTAATTATTACGGACTTTCCACTTTATGACAGTGGAACATACAATATCCTTGAATTGTTTTCTGTTAAAAGCTTTATAAATAAAGGTTACAGTGGAAACTCGACATTACGAGGTAAAGTTGTGTAATTAAGAAACTTTTACAGTTCGGAACCCCAAAACCAATATTACTGAACTTCTGTTTTTATTATTATATGGCTTTGAGGAAAGTTTCAGCTTGAGTATCCCGTAAGAATTGTTTTACTGATCCAAACTAAGCTTGTGTAAACAGTTTTACTAGTAAACCTGTTATAATAACTTACAAAATGTGTTAAACTTGTCATGAAGATATGTGTAGAATATTTGTATGGTAATATTTTAATCAACTCATAAATTAGTTGCGCAAAATGAAGCTATATCATCACAAAAACTAATGAAGTAAATTAATTTGCAAATATGTTTAATTACATCTTAATAATATTTATTCAGTCCAAATGACAGCCTATCAACTGTGTTCACATGATATAACTACATTATTCACATTAAATGTCCAGAATAATATATTATACAAATTTATTTTTACTTTCCAGTCAGTTCCTAAAACAGTATTGGGACCTAAAATTGAAACTATTCGCCCGAAACAGGAAACCTAACACTTGAGACACTTTCAGACTTTTTGCAAAAATATAATATTATTCAGAAAACATAACATAAATTAAATTAGATTAAATTGTACAATGTAAACAATATTTTGCTAAAGACACTTAATCAAAAAATCTGATCGGTTTCTCCGTCAAGGATGTCTCTGAATTCGTAGGAAACCTCTTCAGGGAGTAAGTCTCATATGGGTACATTAACTTTTTTTCAATTTTTTGTATTACTGTCAAACACCCACATTTGTACAGTGGTTATTATTGGTTATATTAACTTCTCAAAAGTTGGTAGCACTGGTTCCTTTCCTTCCCACATGTTTCTAAGGCAACGAAATATTCAGTTGAAGAGGCCACTGTGTGAAGTTATGTGTGAATCAGTGAATTTGTGAAGTTTGATGTGTTGTGAAACCCATTTATAATGTACGTATACAATTAATAATTTTTGTTTGTGATATTTTATGCTTTCCCCTTTCAAATAATATTTAGTTTACTACATTATCTTTTAAAATGAAACTAGAAATTTGATTTTAATATCTGTACCGATTTGCGTACAGATCAAATGTCTCTGAATCTCAAAAAACGTCCCTGAAGAGGTTAAGAATTCAAACTGTTCTATATAGCAGGTCTTCGCAGTAATATGTTTTACTGATTCTCTTCACCATTTGAAAAATGAAGCTTTAACAGCCTTCAACCTCAGTTCGTTGTGAGTGCTAACCTCAGTTGGTTGTGAGTGCTAACCTCAGTTGGTTGTGAGTGCTAACCTCAGTTCGTTGTGAGTGCTAACCTCAGTTGGTTGTGAGTGCTAACCTCAGTTCGTTGTGAGTGCTAACCTCAGTTCGTTGTGAGTGCTAACCTCAGCTCAGGTGCCAGGTTGTAATGGCTTATCAATATTGTACACTGTTACTTCACTTAGACGCGTCTCGCGTCCCCTAGATGGCTTCATAAAGGGATATGAATATTGACATACCTGTGGCTCCCTTGCGAGCCACTCCCTGTACTAGCTAAACCTCCAACTTACTTCAGCCTGTGTGTCATGTACGGCGCGATGCGTAAAATTGCATCCATGCTCGGGTAAAACTTAACTCAGTTTTGAGTTTGCTTGATCAAATTATTAATAGTATTTCTCGTTATCGTGTTAACAATTGGATTGAGGTTTTAATTACGGGTGTGCTTTTAATCACGGGTGTGCTCTCATAGATTCATTTACCTTTTACCTAACCAATCTTGTGTTCACACATATTCATAAACGTTTGGGGACCTTTTCCGTTAATTCACTATTTTTTATTGCAATTCCGTCTATTCACTACCAGAACTTTAATTTCGTTTTAGTTATAAAAGGTTATATAATACATAACCAGAACCTGCAATTAAGTGGAAAATGTGTAGTAGCGTTGTTTTAAATAAATTTTCAGGACCGTAACGCTTACGCCACATGACTCGACCAAGCAGCTGTACAGCATCGGTAGGGTAGGTTAGGTTAGGTTACCACAGCGCACGTAAATATTATGGAAGAACAGTTCTTAGAGCAATAAAATATTTAGCAAGTGGTAGTGAATTAACGGGGGGCGCTAATTGTATTGAATGTTTGGTTCTAGAATCTTGCTAAACATTCCGGATTAAAAATCTAACTGAATAAGAAATTTGACTTTTTTATTCTAAAACTAGCTGTGTAACCGTTCTACGCATCTTATAGTAGTCAGTTGAAACCCACTACTAATGGTTTCCGTTGGATAAATAACAGCAGTTGGTTTGCATATTTTCAGATATGCTGGCCAAACTATTAAGCAAGTATATAAGCAAGTAAAGAATAAGAAGTCTAAATTTTTTATAGAAAAAATATCTATAGTAAATCCGTATATTGAAGTGGAAATAAAATGATCGGAATTGCAATTTCCAATTATAAATCTGAAATAACTGAAGTAGAGACACCTGAAATGTAGTCTTTCTCAAGATTTCAATCAATATATCCGCTGAATCCTCTTCTTCAACCGCAGCAAATCCTCCAAACGAGAACCCTCTTCTCGCCTCTCATTGATAACGAACTCATCTTTGATGAATAACGTCGTCTGATTAGTTGAGTAATGAATCAGCATTGCACTTAGAAATTGTTGGAAAATAATCAGGTGCTATTTCAAATACTGTATGCAAGGTTATCGGGTATTATAACTCTTAGAGTTAAACTCTCATTTTCATATGGATGAAAACATGTTTGGAATTTTATTATTTATACAAATTGCTAAGCGCACCTCTATAGATAAACTATATTGTGGGGAAAGGATTTGATCAGTAAAAAACTCTAGACATGACATTATGTTATTATTTGTAATTTTAGACCAAAATTTATTATACTCTCTGCCACCGATCTTGATGGAGAGTTTGCGCTAGTAATTTTAATACACTTTAAACTTTCATACACAATTTGAATTTATTAAGATGAATTGGTTTTCTATCTAGTAAATAAAATCATGATAAAACCTTAACAGTAAAAGTGTATTAAGGCTTGGCGCTAGCGGGGTGCTCTGTTCTGAATGGCAACACTCTAGCAGAGTTGGCAAATTTCCGGCGATTTAAAGACGTCCGGGGAAGAAATAGCCTTCTCATTTCCTGTTGGACTAAAATCTTTTATTGCCGCGTAGAATGCGTGTAATATACAACGTACGTTATTGACGTCTCAGTTCCATAACGTCGTTTTCCTTTGAAACTTCACAAATTTAGTTCTAAAATGATGTTAATAAAAATCGGAAATGTTTTAAATTGCTGAGACTAGAAATGTTGTGTTGTTAAGAAAAATTGAATTTGTGATTATTTTCTAAGATGAAATAATTTGTTGATGTTCGACATGATATGTTGTGCTGAGTGGTATCAATCTGACGGTTTGTGTTTGTTTCAGGTCAGAACTTTATTCGTCAGTGGTCTTCCCATGGATGCCAAGCCTCGAGAACTATACTTGCTGTTCAGGGCCTATGAGGTATGTTCATAAATGTATAAGCTACAATAGGTGTAGCTAATTTAAAACATGTCATATTTTATAAAGTATTCAACAAGTGTGTTTATGTTTCTATATCGGTAATTTCACGTGTCTTAGCCCCAATGCCCCCCTTCCCCTACTAAAACTTGTTTTTACATTCCAGGGTTACGAGGGATCGTTACTGAAAGTTACGAGCAAGAATGGGAAAACAGCATCTGTAAGTCTTACAAATGTTTATTAGGGGTTGAAATATTAACGGATACACTTTGTACTGATGTAAACAAACTATTAGTGTGGTTTTGAACTCGATCAAAACACAGTATTCAACCTTGTTTTGGTTCGTTCATTTTAATAGTATATAGTCAACTAATATTTTGTAACAAAAACAACTTTTAGAGATAACTTCATACAATTTTAAAACGCATTTGAATACATCAACGAAGCATTTTGATTCAGAAAATCAATTACACAAGAATCTTTAAAAATATTAGAAAAACGACCAATGTAAATTTGGCTATTTTACTCAAACTAGTAAAACGACTTATGTGGTTACAGTTTGTTTTATAATCGATTAATTTGTATTTAGCTTATTGTTGATGAATTATTATCCAAGTAGATATGTGCTGACTGTATGTATGTGTGTGTATTACAGCCCGTGGGGTTCGTCACGTTCAACACACGCGCAGGGGCGGAGGCCGCCAAACAAGACTTGCAGGTGGGTCACTCGTACATGACGTCACTTATACCATTGAATATACAGTATAACAGTATTTATTCAATGCCTACATTTAGCAATTGGAAAGTTGTTGAAACATTTGAAAGTTACCGAGAGGAGTCGTGGACCGAACCTGCAGTGGTGTTGATGGTTCGGACGCTTCATGTGCAGGCACATCTGTCTGTCGCACCTCACATAGACTAGCTCGTACAGTTTACACTTTAGCCAAAAGATTTACCAAAAACCTTTTTGTAAACCTCTTTGTATGGGTGATACATTTTCCTTCAAACAGTATCGGTCACAATTCATTGCAATTTACAGCTTCTTAAAACATTTTGTCAGCATAAAATTTTTCTCGAATATGCATTCAGTATTTAATAGTAAAAGTAAACTGGTTAACCTTTTTTGACTGTGGTTGGATTGTAATAGTTTTTTTAATCATCATCTTACGTTACGAATCAGTTGTATGAATATTTCTACAAATATCTAACCCTCAATATATGTTTAGTTGGTTCAGAGAAACTAGCAAATGAGTCCAAAGCAACATCCTTGTATTAAAATATCTAACAGGTCTAACAAAAAACATGATCCTTCGGGAGTTTCATGTTTATAACAAAGAGCTTTTTGACTGTATTTCCTATTTTTGATACGTTTGGTAAAAATGAAGGCTATTTGTTGTTATAGCACACATTGCAGAGTAAAACTGTTTAGGTATAGTAACACTGCTTTTCCCGATTTTAATTGTGAATCTTAGGGTATCAGTGGGATATCACTTATGAGCTGTGAGATACTTTGCTGTACAGTTGACCAATGTATGGAGCGGAGTGGCTGCCTAGAGCTACATGCACCGAGTGCCACCCGCTTCACGCAGTACCGTAGTGCTACCCCTTTCTTTCTATCTTGTAACCCTCTCTAACCTCATTTTCTGCTCACGGTAACATCATTTTTAATCTTTTTGAATTTTTTGCACTTCAGGGTATTTGTACCTTGTTTTGTGGTTCTTTGTGTCGATTTGAAAGGTATACAACAGTACTATCAGTATTTCACTGTAATGTAAAGATGTTTTATGATTTTCAACCGTCTATTACCTTTCAAAGCGACCAAAGTTGCACAACATTAGCCTCACTGGCCTGTGCGATTTTTGACTAGTTTGATGTCATGGCGTGGGCCTGTTTATTACAGCAGGGTGTCCGGTTTGATCCCGATATGCCTCAGACGATTCGACTCGAGTTTGCCAAAAGCAACACCAAGGTTAGCAAGCCCAAACAGCCCGTCGCTAGCCTCACTACCTCGCACCCAACTTTGATGCACCCACTCACCGGACGTAAGTACCACCCACCTCGCATAAGCTTCTGCACTCCCTTCGCCGGCCGCCAGAGTAGCAATCATCCAACCGATCTATAAACTGTACAGCTAGAAACAGAACAATACCATGTAATTATTTTAACAGAAAAAATGGGGTGGACTTCTGTATATGTTGGCACCAACAACCGAATGAAAATATATCGATTATTCGATTGTATCATTCGATATATCGATCGATATTTTCATTCGGTTATTTGTGCCAACAGATACGGAAGTCTACCCAAAAAATGTTATACATAAATATGATTGCTGCATTGACTGAGCCATACGCTTATATCACTCCACTAACCTTGCACTACCTTCTTTTAGCTTTTAGTAAACAGTAGCTTTTTCTGTTGTATTATAAGCTACTTCAAATTTATCTATCTTTCAAGTGAATCTTTGGTGAATATTTTTGTCCCTTGTGATATCGGCAATCTTTCTGATTGACTTGAAATTAAAATTAGTTCCTTTGAAGGAGATTGTTATTAAACCAATATAAATCAGTATTGAGTTGGGGCAAAGAATTCGGAGTAAGTATATTATTTAAGTTTAAGTCATAGCTACTCGAGTTATCTTGTTAATTATAATGGATCACGTGAAAAAAAAAAACTATTTCATAATATAAAGTTAAGCAATTTAAGGTAAAGTATAGCATTTGGTTGCAAGACCGTTTGGTTTCCAATACAATAATTTCCATTATTTAAAAAGAATCCAAACTGTGTTAATGGTTTTTAATATTTTCTGCTTAGTGTAAGTAGCAAGAAGGTGCATGTAAAAACTTATTTAAATAATTAATTAACAGTATTTTTACTAAAAATCGGTAAATCTGTTGGAAGTAGCTTTAAAACTCAATTTTACTTGTATTTTGCTTGTCCTCTTAGTTTATATCTTGTTGATAACATACTGATTTTATCAAACCGATTATCCACTCAGGTTATGTTCTTTATTCCAGACGTTAAAAAGATGATCTATTTTCAATAATGAATAAATTAACTACTTGGGAGATAGGTTCCTTAACAGTGTCACAAATCAGTTTAAAATATCAATTTGGATAAACTTTTCAAACATTTTACTCTGCTGATTATCAAACATTATCATACAAATCTGCAACCCAGTTTAGTTTTACATTAATGGGAAGATTGATAAATGTTCCACACCAAAACTGATGATACCATACGGGGTGTTAGGTTATTCTGATTCTAACATTTCACACAACAGTAAGTTTACATTAGGTGGTAATGGATTTGTAATGATAATTGGAATCTACATGCAGGAGAAGGGGGTGCCAATTATAATGTGCCTCCCTCCCACATCTTCGTTAACCTCCTGCTTTATACCCAACTTCGACACTCTCACATGATCATAAATATGGAATATATTATTGAGTGGTAACCCGTAAATTATTTTTAAATAGTTAAAGACTTTCTATTTATCAACATTATAATATTTTAGAATCAAAGAAATTATTGCATAACTTGTATTTTATGGTTATAGTTTTATTCGCTCAATCCCAATTAAACTACCCCAAAAGACGTGATTTAATTTAATTGGTTAGGGATATAAAAATAGATAATATTAGATAAGGGTTCATACTTTAATATGTGTTAACCAAACAAAAAACATAAAACAATTAATCGTACAGGCAACAAGTAAATATTTGTGTAATTCACATTCAACAACAATCTGTTTTTATGTTTTTTACATGCTTTTTTGTTTTTTAATAAAATTTTCTGTTATCTGTAAGTTTAATAAGCCAACCAATAGTTTTTATTTAATGACATGAATATGTTAACATCTTTTACTATACAATATGGGGAGGAAGCCCTCTCAATTCTGTGCTCATACACACAATAAAAAAAGTATTTTTTAACTCAAACAAATCAACTTAATTTAATGGCGGTAACATTCATAATTTGCTTTTTTTTAACATACAAATTGAACAATTATCATGTGGCAATTAATTGTGTAAATTTTACTTTTTATTTAGGTACACTAATAGTTAGAGAGAAGTGTAAAAACCCCCTTTTTTAATTTTGTAAACAACCAACTAGTCTAGGTTACAATATAGGGTTAACCTATTTAAGTGTAACCTAATAATTTGATGCTGTATACATATTGTTCCCCTCTTTTATTTCATAGCTCTTGAAATAAAGCAACACAAAATATGTTTTGTGCATTATTTTTGTTATTGAAAATTCGTCTTTAATATTCAATCTAGGATGCTAGAGGCTAGAATATCTTAAAAATTAACTTATAAAACATTGAATGAAATAATCATCACTGACTCAAACTTTTTAATGCCGATTTCATATTTTGTAAAAATAATTATTAAGTGTTGGTAATTTTGTGGTTATATTTGCTGTTGGCTTTGGGACGTTTTGTTTATTTTGACTTTAAACTTACTGAAACTGAGTAACAAGTGTACCATTTCAAATATTTTTTTATTTTGGTTTACTGTTTCAGATCCACTATGTCGTTTATGTTTGTAATTTTAATGTGGGATATTAAGCTAACATCTCCTCATACTGAATGGAGTGTCAAGGTTTCCTTTTAAAATGGGTGGTTTACGTTCTGGCATTGACTATTGGATTGGTTTATTTAAAAATTTACATTATGTATTATTATAGCTATCAATAATTATTTACTTAAAAAATTGTATAACTTAAACAGATTTTTTGCCATTTAATGTTGTAAGTGATCTGCTGGGACGAAGTAACGTAGTCTGTTTATTCATTTGTCTCCAAGACATTTGTATAACCATTCAGTATGTTTATACATTCTAACAGTAGAAAAAGTAAATAAAATTTCATATAGGTCTAACTTAGATCATAATTACCCAAAAACAGTTGTATATAAATGTGGAAATAATAATTTAAATTATAGACATACTTAAGTACAGGAAACCAATTCGCTATTTATACAACAGTTGACCTAAAAATGGTTTTGAAATATTTATTTAGTTATTTTTTATAAAAATAAAAAATAAGTGTCCTAAAGTCTAAACCAGGTCTAAGTAAGACAAAAATAAGATACCCTGGGCCCAAACTTACTGATTTACAAAATATTTTCAGTTCAGGTAAATCGATAAAAGCAGATTTTATTAATGATCCTCAGATTAAAATATGTTAACCATATTTTATTCAATTTTCCTTTTTCTCTTGGTGAAATACTGTTCACTACTCTTGGTAAACCACTGATTTAAGACTTATAACTTGTAGTAGATTATGTGGTTCACATTTTCTGACAGTGTTTGATGTTTCAGATCTCGGCACTCCGTTTTTCCCCGGCGCCCCCGACCTGTGGCCTCATCACCTCGCCTACGCCACCGCAGCAGACCTACCTGGCGCAGCCCTACAGCACGCTCTGGTCCACCCTGCCTTGCATCCCCAGGTCCCCGTACGTTCATACCTCTGACTATCTGCTGACAAACCGGACACTTTGGGCCAACCAGCCCCCTCCTACCACCAACATGTAATTCAGATCAATTACCTGTGTCGACCAATTACCCTCACCATCACCTGCACTCACTTGTAACACAGTGTTATTTATTTTGCACATAAAGTGTACATAAACGACTATGGTGATATGTTGAAAATGGTAGGAGCTGTAAGTTTTGAGATTGACCAGGTAAATCAGGGGTGTTACGAGCTTTTTTATTTATGTACATATTTCATACTTCAAAATAAATAAAGTAATTATCTAAACATAAAGTCTAACAAACTAATTCTGCATGGTTATGTATAATTATCCTTTTGAGTTACACATACAATATACTTTTAAATTGTGTTATTTTGGGTTTGATGTAAATTTCAATATATTTATTTCTTTAAAATTATTATAAACAGGTAAACCAAAAATATATTTAATATAGATTAATGTCCCATGTAGGGTGATTCCCATCAAGTTTATATCGTTCAGAGTTCACAACAAAAATATAGTCACAAAAAATAAACGGTAAAGAAAAAAAAATACTAAAAAATATAACAGCAACTTAAAATGCCTTGTAGCTTCAGAAAATTGGGTGGGATTAAGCACTCTCCCTTGAATCAATTTAATGTTTAAAAACTAGCTACTAACCAACAGATTAAATAAATAACATACACATTATTCCTGTTACTTTCCACCATGTTTTTGATGTGTATTGATACGAACAACATTTGTCAATAAAACAAAGGGTTGTTGTTTCTTTTTTAACATACCCTGTTTACGATTTGAAAACGTAATCAATTTCATTTTTACAGACAAGAAGAATACTTCATTAAGTTAAAATCAAGTAAGGAGAATACTTTATATAAACAACTGTACTGGTAGGCCCATACTTGAACAAATTTATTTCAAAATAAACATGGAAGTCACAAAATAAATACAAGTAATAAACATGCAACACAATAACTTTTAAAAAGCACAGCACCTTGTACTGCAAAAAGCACTTTTACAAAACCCATAAAGCCCCAGAAATCCTGTAAAAGATCTTGAATTTCCATTATATCAACTCCACATCCATTGCTCAAATCTTATCTTATATCCTATCATCTGTGTTTGGTTTCAGCTATTATTGTTTAGATATTATTATACTGTAACACTTTGCTTATATTTAGAACTTGTTTATATTACAGCTATCCAAGTTAAGTCAAAATATTTTAACTATAAATAGAACACAACGGTATACATATATGGGTAAATTATTTTTTTTTTGTTAAAATTTATTAGTAAGCACAATATTGCTTCGCTGTACATGCTTTCTTTGCCTTTATTCTGTCTTTAAAGTAATCAATATAAAATACCAAATATGTTATTTTATAAAATGTTTTAAAGTTAACTTTTGAGACAGATTATGACTTATTGGATGCTCAAATCATAATAAACTCCTTTTTTATATAAGAATTTGAAAATACATAACTTACTCTGTGAATTAAAGAAATCACTTGATCCTTAATGCCTAATTCCTTTGGTTGTTGTTGGCAATAATAAATGTGTTCACTGTGACATAGTGTTCACCTAGTATTCAAAAGGATGCCAGTTTGTTATTAACCAAAAGGTATCAGCAACCTAACTTATACTTTCTCCCATTAGCTTGTCAACAACCCTTATAATGAACAAGCAGTGGGAGCAACTGTTAATAGTCAATGCCGCCGGTATTTTATGAATTTTTATGGGAAAATGCCCACTAAAAATCAAAATGATAAAACCTTAGATTATACCAACTCAAACTCAAATTATTTTACGGTATATACTTTGTATAGTGGAAGAAAATAAAACCTGTAGCCTTTTGATGGTTCTAACCAGCTGTCCTTGATCATTGGGCTCAATAAATGGTCCTGACTAATGAACCAGCTGATCTTAGTCAGTAACAAAGCTATCGTATCATTGTGCAGGTATATGATGGTCACAAGTCATAGTATATGTCATATTGTTCACAGCCTCCCATGTCCATCCCTCATCCGACCGCTGCGTTGACCGCCATGCACGCCTCGCTGCCTCATTTCCTCCCCTCGCCAGCGCTAGCCTCGCCTGTAGGCTCCTCGCCATCGTCCCAGCCTGGGATCCCCACAGGTCCCTGCTCCACGCTCTTTGTGGCCAACCTCGGACAGTTCGTCTCAGAGCATGAGCTGAAGGAAATATTTGCAAGGTATGTTTAATAAGTATCAGTAGCATAGCGGTTAGAAAGATACGTGTTTGCGGATTCTCTAGGTAAAAATAATGTCTAACAAAAATAAACACTCTTTATGACTTTTACTGAAATTAGAATCAAAGAGGTAGTTCAAGGTAGCATAGTGGTAACTTACATCATAACCTATAAGCACAGTATTTTCTAACTCAATGTCCAGGTACTAAAAGAGACTCACAAAATATTTATTTTTATCAGCTAGTCACAAAGTTATTGAAGAAGATCCAGAAAAAGGTCTATTAAAGTGAAATGACATTATGACTCAATTTTATTTCTATTTGGTCATTTAGGTGAAACTCAACTGTAATAATAATAAAATTATTTTTTTTAATGTTATTTGAAAATACATGTTTTGTTTCATAATTACAATAAGGCATCCACTTTAATATTGCAGATCAGTTCCAATGTAACAATATTTCATAATAGCAAACCCCCTCAGTTGTGGCTTGTTTAAGTCATAGTTTATTAGTGTCCTATTATTTTTCTACATCCTTCTTCCAGGTTTTATACTGTACTATATATCTCAAACAAAATAATATACGTTGCAAAATGTTGATATCTGTAAAATACATACTCTGTTTACTTTTAAAGCCAACTTATTGATAGTAATAGGATAGTTTTTTTTTCATCGGATACTCTGTGAACTTAAATACAAATTCATAAAAATTCATCGGTGAAATGTCATATTTTGTTATTATTGACTAATGCTTATTATTCATGTTTTTTTTTTTCAACAATGTAGAATTGAATATCAAAATATGATATTACAGTAAACACCAGTGCGACTAGTCTAAGTTTTGATTGAGTACTGTTGTTGTGTGTGTCTGTGTGTGGGTGTGTGGTGTGTGGTGTGTGTGTGCGTGAGGGGTGGGGTAGTCTAAGTGGTTGTCATGCATGTCTCATCATAGAAGCTTGTCTCTCACTGTAGCCCCTCCCTTACACTTGCACCACACCATACACTAACCCTCCATCTCAGCCATGGCGTCTGTGCACTCTGCACTCCGACACTTTGAGTAGCATAACCGTAACACTTGCACAGTTGAGACGAGGCAGAGTGCACATTGCGCGCCGCGGCCGGTTATACCTTGCACAGCCTACGCCTACCACTGTTGTTATGTGCACAGCTTCCCTGGGTTCTCCCGTCTGCGAATGCACTCCAAAGGCGGCTCTCCTGTCGCCTTTGTTGAGTACCAGGATGTTCGATACGCTGCCCAGGCTATGGCCACCCTTCAGGGTTCTTTCCTGCTCTCCTCAGATCGAGGTGCTATTCGAATTGAGTACGCCAAAAGCAAAATGTCCGAGGTTCGTTTCAATTTTTGTATTTTATAATGTTCTCTAGACAAACAATCTACTTCTTTCGGATAATTTGGTCTCTAGAAACATGAGAAAGTCTTGAATATTTGTTTTAAAATTCTACTTAAAACTTATTCATATAGTTTTGTTTAAAATTAGATCACTCCCCAATCCTGTGTTAAATTTATTGGGTGGCTTAAACCATCACCTTCTGATTGGTCAAAACAAAACATTATAATTGTGTAACTAAACGTATACGTTTCACTATTGGCATACAAAAGAAGGTATTTCCTACAGTAAGAACAAACGATTTCTCCATTTTCAAATATTCCAAACAACAATTTTCATATGGTCATGAATGAATACTTAGCAAATACTCATTCAAAAAATTGAATTAAAGCCACTTCCAACTGTACAACTGTAGCTCTAAACTAACCAACTTCAATACTCTGTCTTTCTCGTCACAATGCACTAAGTAATAATGTTTCTTCACTTACACTATTCATGTTTCATGTAGATGTATTTGCACTGTTATATTCCACAGCTATGGCAAAACTGAACATAAAATTTGCTGTGAAAATTAACATAAGAATAATAAGGAGTGAGTAATGGTATTTTGGTTTGATAATTGCTTGTACATACGAAGGAGCAATTGCATATCTTGTGTACCCAATTGAAGCATGTGTGTTTTAATGCAAAAATGTATCATACCACCGTGCTATGTTGATGATTTCACCAGTATAAATGAAGAATAGGACAACTGTAATCTTTTTTTTATATCTCAAAAGCCAATATTTTATATTAAATCTTATGTTTTTATTTTATAGTAGTTGATTTTAATGTATGAACACTATTGTAGGGATCCTACCGGAGCGAAGAGAATGGACAATCTTAATTACAACTACATGCAGCCTACGCAGGTGGGCAACGCCACCTGACAGTGCAGTCCTCTAGTTGAAACGGCCAAGGTGTAGCTCTACTCGCTGATGGAAAACTCTGTTTTTAGTAGCTTCTCATTTTGGCCCTGCAACAAATCAATTTAAAATAACCATTCTGGGTAGGCCTGTAGTCTATGTTTGTTGCTATGAATGAGAAATATTAAAAATTAAGTTTTGTTAGTGAGCTTCGATAGAAATGAGAAATGTGTATGTATCTTAAGTAGAGCTATTGTTAGGTAAAGATCGGAAAACCAAAGGTGCCCTAAATGTTACGCTACATAGATTTATTAATTAAAATCCTTTACAAGGCTCTTTTTGAGATGTTTGTTTTAATTTAAGACGAATAATAAGAGGCCTGTACTGTTTATAATTATATTGCAATTTTGTTATGTACTATACACGAGTTGTAACCGCTATCTAAGAAAAGGATTCTAGGATTGTAATCAGGATCTACATCAGCAAAAAGGTAGCGAAATATTTTTTATCGTGAAAACTTTGCTTAGTGGAATCTGAGGATGTTGGAGGATAGGATAATTATTATTAGATTTGTGTTAATGTTGTTGTTAGTTGATATTGGATGGTCTTAATACTGTGCATCTACTAAGAAGTCTATGTTTTAGATAAAATCTTCAGTGTTCTAGTTTTTATAATAGATTTTAAAATCAAAGCGATATTTCAGAGGTAGAGATGATAGAAATTAGTAAAAGACAATGGAATTCTCTTTTTATTGTTTTGTCAGTAAGGTAACATTTATTTGCAATTATGCATACTTTGATGATAAAGACCTATACACAAATCTAAATGTATGTGATATACAACAAGACATATTTTTGTTATATTGCTATGACTTTTGATGTTTTTTATTATGAATATATAAATAAATATAATTTTTATCCTCTTAATAAATGTAATTTTAAAGCTTGTGAGTGTAGCAGATGTGAAGTGTATGTTATAACTATGTACGTTTTTTTCTTTGCATTGTGTGATTTTTGCAGTATTAATTCCATCTAGTTTCTTAAAAAGAAGTTTAAGAATTAAATTTCTTGTTTTCATACCAAAGTTAATTCAATTAATTGGATTGTTAATGCTGACTGAATGCCAAAGACCGGAATAATGTTGAAAGCATGCATCTAAAACCAAAACCGCCGTTTACAATATTTTCTTTCTTGAATCTCTTTTAATTTATATTTTCCTCTTAAATAGCAATAATACTTTAGAAGGACGCGATGATGGGGGACATCGATGTCTAGCCAGCGCACATATCATTCGAACTTGTAGGCTTTCAGTCTCCTAGTGTATGTAAATATTTATGTCAGTACTTAAAAGTGATCATAAAAGATATATTCGTAGATATATTATTTTAAAAAGCTCTTTTTGTGAAACTGTTCAATATTTTTCACATGACATTAAAAAATATTCTGTCAAATAATGAGACCAATCGTACGTACTATGACTTTGAATCACCTTTTTAAATCACATTTTTGATTTAATTATTTCTTTATCAATACTCAAACTTTAATAAGCATGAGTAAAAATGCCTAAATTTATCACTTGTTACTTGTTCTTCAGAAGTATTTTAATTTGTTAAACAATACATTGTTCCATCATTATATAATTAATGTAGCCTATTATTATTTTGATAAGCTCCCTTGCTTATTGACAAGCTTATTTCAATAACAAAACTCTGATACCATACCCTTGTAGTTTATCTGCTTTAACTTCAGATTTTTGTGCAGCAATTCAGGTTATTTAAATTTTGCAAATCCGTTTCACTCTATAACTGCTATTGAAAAGTTTTTGTTTTCTTCTGAGAGTTCAGTAATTTTGTTTCAATGTTTTATTAAGTAAAAGGCAAAATGTAATAATTTCTAAAGCTTTTTGTTATTTCTAAATATTTTTTTATTATTGGGTATTATGTAAAACTTGTTTGTGTGTTATTTTGAGTTATTTTAATAATGATTGTAAATACCGGTTTCTGTATGAAATTTGAAAACTTTGGTAACCATAATTTTATCCATTTGTCACTGTATTTTTTTAGTTGAAACAATTTTAATAATTTTTGACCAATTTTCGTATTCTGTATTACGCTAGAAAGACTCTTACTAAGTACCTGTGATATTCACGTTTGCTGATTTGTTGTATTTCTTTATTGTGGGGCCAGTCCTACTATGTTTGTTCCTAAATAAAAGTGGTAACCTATGCTCTGTACATTGGCAATGTAGAATTCCCCTGTTTTAAATCCAATTTTGTGGACCCAATCAAATTTTGGCTTAGCAAGATAAAAAAATAAATTCCTCCAAAGATATAAAATAAATGAATCTACTAACAACAAGTTGTAATGAGAAAATGGTTTTCATTTCTAAAATATGTTTTAAAGTATGCTAAGCATAACTTTAAACTGCCATAGGTTGCCGCTTCAGTGACTTTGCTTAGTTAAACTAATCTTATAATTAATTTTACAAATTGTTGCCTGGCTAACATATCTGTCAATTGAACTTCTTACATGAAATGTAAAATCTATCATGAGCAAAGCTAAGATGGATAATTCAATAATCATTCCATTATCAATTTTTGAAGTTGATTTACTTTGAATCTCATAAGGTGATTTAATATAAATGACGAGGTTTGTTTAAACTTCTAAGTTTACTAACTGCGAGCTTATTCTATCTTAACTTTAATTTCCTTGCGGCTGCAAAGTCCTGTGAGGCAGGTGTAGCATTTTGTAGATATGAAACAAAGTATAGTTTGTTCTAATTTGATTTAATCAGTCAAATAACAGGTTAGTTAGTAATAATTGTATATTTATCTAATGTTTTACCTCAGCCAAGCCTAAGTGACTAGGGTAACTTCTTTAGATTTGCCAATAGTCAGGGTTAATCCATATCTTTCTCAGTCCAAAATATACCAAAGACCTGAAGCATGGAGCAACTTTCTCTTTTAAAACCAGAGTTAAGTTATAAAACTTGTATTTAATGTTAACCAAATATATAATTACTGTAGTGTTAGTTATAGTTTATAATGCTTTGTGTGTGTAAGGTGTGATGTAACTGTAGACTAGTATTTATTAATGTTTTTGGGATTGTCATGTAGTCTCGGTAAGGCTGAAGGTAGAAACAGCTGAGAGCCTTGCCGGACACTGACTCCCGTGTACACAGAGAGAATCCTCGAGGACTGCGCTGTTTCCCCCAGGTCCATTCACTCTTCACTCCTCCCTCGATGTCACACTTATTTAATTTCTTTTAGTAATATTTTTAAAATTGCACCAACCTTAAAGCACTGCATTTGTACAGTACACTGTCGGTTAATAAAAGAAAAATAACGTAACACATTGTGATATACGGTAAAATAAATTGTTAATTTTTTAAACAAACATTTATACATATACGACAATCATTAAAAGATACGACCGGCCGATAGTAGCCGATAAAGCACAATGTGAATGTGTAAAGATGCACTCTGGAAACAGCACAGTCCGTCGATCCTCTGTGGAAATATCCGTCCATGAATCCATGTCTTGTACGAGCCATGCGAATTATCATCATCAAATCTCAGCTCAAACCAGGTACAGGGGCATTTACCCCCGGGGGTGTGAAGGAATCACCAAACATACATATCAGCTTAGGTTAGGAGAAATCAATGTTTCTACCCGTTTCAATGTCTATTTGTACTGTATAAGGAAAGGGTCTTCTAAATGTGTCTTTTGCTGAAGATCTTCACACGACTTTTATGAATAGTTACAGCGTTAACCTAGCAATATTCAGTGTCTTGTTAGGTACCGTACTAATACGATTGTGTGAAGTTCTTCATCCGGAAACAACTCAATTATTACTGTTCATGTGGAGTATTGTTGTTGGCATTGACTGTACTGCGGTTTACTCGGGGCTCATTTGTAACTGTAACGTAAATTATTGTTATCTTCGAGTCTATCCCTGAAGAAATTATTTGTTGATCCTAAAACCTCTCTAGCCCCTACCTACCGCATTCAAAACTTATAAATCTGTTGACATTTAACCTAAAGTAGATTGTATTGGTATGTTGTATGAATGGACCCTGTGGTTTGTGTTGTACCCAGCCTGAGAGTGCCTGCTGTTACGCTGTGACTGATGAGCCTCAGTCCTTGTTTGGTGTCAAGGGTTGGTGTCGGCTCGTCACCATGACACATCAGCCTTCTTTTAATCTGTGTCAGGCCGACACCAACAAAAACACCACTATCAAAACATATCATGATTTGTGCCCCCTGACAAGTGTAACATTCTTAAATCATTAGTAAATTATGTATGAAATATATTCATTGTAAGAATTAATATAAATATAAGAAAGATTTGATAACAAAGTAGAGGATATAACGCTAGTTTCTGCTATCTTAGATTCTGTACTGTAACATCTTTGAACAATGTCTGCTTTGTGGAGCCTGAGTCTCTTTAACGGAAACATCTTGCAATATTTGACTCAAATATTAAAAAAATGAAGTGTACATGTGTTTAAAAAATAAACAATGAAAAACCCTTTGTGTGTTATTTCAATACTTCCCCATCCATCACAAAAATACTATATTTGACCTATCCTAAAAAATTGCATTCTATAGTTCCTGGTTTAACTTTCAATTTAAAACTATAAAACAATCCTCATAAAATTTGTTAATGCAAACCTATAATTATAGTGTTTTTAACATAATTGTTTTCAACATAGGCCTATTCATTTAGTTTATGTTAGCAAAATAAGATAAAAACCATTTTGGTAGCTTCCTAATGAAGGCAAACAATCAACATTATTTTTGTTTTACAAATCAGCCGTTTTCGGCTGTGGATTGCTTACAAAAACCAGACCACATTACGATCTTGAGCGTTACTTTGGGCATGGAGTTTGGCCAAGACGAAGTGGACCTGCTAGTCCCAATTATCCTCAATCTCCATCATGTTTTTGCAAGATGATTCAACCGACAGCACCCCAAGGTTTTGAGTGAAATCATAAACTGTTAGTCATTATAACTATTTTTGTTTTTATATAATCTGCTGTAAATTGAATAGAACCCTTACTGATGCTAACAGATGAGTCACAACCAACCTCTTCACAGTCCCACCATTTGTTGAAAGGCCTAAAGTAAACCATTTAAAGTTTGTAACTTGAAACCAAATCCGTACCAGCTTGCTGCATGAATATTTGTTTCAAAAGGTTTTAATAAATTAGGATTCATTACATTTTCTAGTGATCATGTCAACCTCTAAAATTCAGTCTAGTTTCAATCTCACCATCATGAATGAATGGTATTTATTTTGACTATTCTTGTAATTTTCTCTAAATATAGTTGTATCATTAACAAATTATTACATTCAAGAGTAATATTTAATTTTACACAACAGATTATATTGCATTCACATAGCAAAAGATTAAAAGCTTGTGTCAAGTAACCTTCATTTTACATATGTTTCCCTTTATATTACATTATATCCACAATAAGAAATTTTTTTCCTTAGAAATAATGTATCTACATTAAAGCCATTATTAATACTGAAAATTTCTAATTTTTGTTACTTTGAATGTTTTTCATTAATATTACCTTTTTTTACCAAGCTTTTAGTGAAGACAAATAATTTAGTATTCAAACAGTGGAGTAGGTCCTTAGAAGTTGATTTTCAATATTTTATATTTAACGATTTATATTCAAATTACTCTGTTCATTAGACTTTATTTTAAAAGTACAGTAATTAATTAAAATTGTTACTTGAATCGATTTACTCTTTCATGGACTGGAGTAACTTGTAAGTTTGTGATTAGCTCTGTCTGCGGTTTTACTGGAACGTTATCAAGTGGCTGTAACTTAGTCAGTATCAGGTTGTCTTAAATTACTTTGAATAAATCTAATCTGATTTAAACCTGTACTAGTAGAAAACATGTTTTATCTAAAAGTAATTTAACATTCTGACTCTTTAATTTTTTTATAATCTTACAATATTTATGCAACATGTACACATGTTTTTACTCGTAACTAACCCGGTCGCTCCCCAAATGACGATAACGGCTTTCATAGGCAGCCATCAATGTATAATGACTCTCTATGTAGAGTATTATACATCGATGTAGGTAGCAATACGTAGCTTTCGGTCTCCAATAAACATTTGTAAAATGGCTAAAACATGAGTGGTTTCTTGAGTGGTGAAAAATACATTGCAGATCAGATAGTATAGATATTTGGGTGCCAGTCTTAATTATCGCGAAAATCAAAACTACCGCACTGATTAAGTTGAAAGTTGGCAGAAATGTAGCCAATATTCTATGGAGGATCTTTTGTATGAATACACAGATAAGTTAATTAGATAATATTAACAGTCAAACACATATAACAACAAACCGAAATAATTACCTTTCGTAAAAGGACTTACAGAATCTCCAACAAGGGCTGAAAATATTTCAAATAGGCCTGGATTAAAAAATCTAAAATATACGGTTTAGTTTACAAATAGGTTTATAGTGATAATATTCAGAAAATAGTAAAAGGCTCGTACCTTAAATTTTCTACTCGTGTCGTTAACACTATTTACGCGAGTTGCGTACACTACTTTACCTAGTTTTAATTGCTAAAAATCACTACTCATAACTTCTAAGAGAGGTTATGTTTTTGTTTATAACCTAATAACCTCTAATTGCCACTGACAGTGATGCAACGAAACATTGTATCAATTTGCACCAATCAACAATTAAATTGGCCTGAACAGCTGATTAGTTGAATTTCGAATCATTACAATTTTGCTTCTCCTCTCTCAATCCTTGAACCTCATTGGCCCGTTACCCGTGTTGTTATGAGTAAAACTATGCTGTTATGAAAGTAAACAATGCTGTTATGAGATACTTTTCAATTCTAAGAACTGTACTGAAACGGCTACTTTATAAAACGGTCGTAGGTAATAGTATATTACGTTACTAGTCCTGAAAATAAGTGTTTACCGGACGAGTGTGGTCGTTCCCGTGCGAGACGAAGTCGAGTACGGGATTACCATACGAGTCCGGTACACACATTTTGGACGAGTGACGTACGATAGTTTACACCATACTACTAAATCTGTACAAATCCTAATATTTCCACCAACTAAGGACTAAAAATCACTAGTCATTGAGAGGTTATGTTTTTGTTTATAACTCCTCATTGCCACCTAAATACTAAATACAGTACAATCAGCTGATTGGTGTCCGGTAAAACTCATTGCAGCACAGTAGTACGCAATGAAACCCCATTTGAATAAGCTGGCGGCAAACAGCTGTTTTCTGGACTAAATACTTGCGTGGGAAGTTCGTCAAAATAATGTAGTGTGGCGTAAAAGTCTTATCTACATTGTATTAAAACTTAATTAGAGTGTTTTAAGATTAGATAGATTGCCTCTGCAGATTTGGAAGGACGGTATTATATTACGAAAATATATTGAAGCATGTACAGGGTGGCGCAGATGGATCGGGTGGTTTTAAAATACTTGTCAAACTGTCAATTTTAAAGGTATTGGATTTAAATAAAGTGCAAAACATGTACTTACAATGGAAGTTTATTGAAAAAGATTTGTAAAAAAAAGTTTGTTGTTGAATGGTCCGGGGTTTGTTCATGTAGACCCTTACTTTAGGAGTTGAAGGCTGCAATTCACAACGAAATCACATCAATTCCTGGTGATGTGCTTGAGCGAGCAATGCGAAACCCCAATGACCGACACCAAGAATGCGTCGCTCGAGAAGGAAGGCATTTGATGGATGTAATTTTTAAAAACTAACTTAAATATTTTTTTGTCAATAAACCTCCATTGTAAGTACACGTTTTGCACTTTATTTCAATCCAATACCTTTGAAATTGACAGTTTGACAAGTATTTTAAAACCACCCGATCCATCTGCGCCACCCTGTATTATGTACCTTTATCCTTTACGTGTTTCAATTTTAAATATTCTAACTACATGAAAGCCTAAAGAGGGTGGCAGCTTCTTTTAACCTTTCATTTTCCCGTCAAAATAGGCTATGGACCTGTGCGTGGAACGTATCCAGCAAAGAAAGGGGGTGAGCCGGTACAATAAAAATGCGAACTATACTGATAAAAAGTAATGACAGTGACCAGGATCCGAAACCACGACATCGTTGCCTTAGGCCCGAAGTCCGTGACGCTTCTTGAGCCACCGACTCACCAAATGTTTACTAACCAATTATTTAATACTTCTATTATTAATTTCTACGTTATGTATTATGGTTTTACAGCTGTTATAATATCGACTATAATATTACTTGAGACTCGTGAAAGAGCAACAATAATGGAGCCAGTTTACGTTGGGAAGTAGCCAGTCCAGTGTTAGTGTGTTGCTATGGAAACCATTAACAATTTACACACCGTCACCGTCCACTAGCGCTTCTCTACCTCCTCAAAGTCAAAATATCAAAGCTCCGTTTTAGCGTTTAAATTACATTATTTCGACCCCTCGTAAAAGGTAGTTAGTTTGCAGTTTGAAATAAAAGATAAAATACCCCCGCCGCAGCAAACCTGCCGTCTAAGCGAATTTCCATTTGGCCGAATTGATTTTCAATTGAACATTAGGTTTAACGAGTACCTAGGTTTGCTGCTACAAGGAAACTAATAAAGTAGTGTGGTTTTAGTAAAATATTGATAGCTTACTATAAAATAAATAAATTTGCCAAGTTTGATCAAAATATATCCATAAACAAGCAAACTACAACATTTTACAATATTCTCCATAAGAATAACATGGGAATTTTAAATTTACCATTTTTTTAGTTTTCTCCGTAACCAATAACCGTACAAAAACAATTTGATATACTGAATTGTTTGTTTTTTTAAGCTCTTTAAGAAGGTTTAGAGAAAAATTGGGAAATTTTGTGTTTTGAGGGTAAAAAGTGAGAAAAACCAATTTTTACCCCATAAAACCCCCATAAAACCCTGTTCCCATGGTCCGATCATGTTGGATCGCGAACTCATTCAAGTTTATCCCGCCTTACACCTTCAAACCAAATTTCATCAAAATCGGATAAAAATTACTCAAGTTATCGTGTTCACGGACACATATATATATAAATCTATATATATATATATATATATATCTATATATATATACATATATAAAAATTTGAACGAATGGTGTTTTTGGCCTCTGGGGACATTAAAATGAAAAAGTAAATCGGTCCCGGGCCTAAGTCTTACCATGAGACCTACGGTAATAGCTACTTCCCTATAGGGAAATTCGCTAAAAGTACGATAGAAAAATATTATTGGTTTTCCAAAAGTGCCTTTTTAAAACTTCGCTTTGAGTAAACAGATACCAAAATGTTGTTTATCTTTTTTTTTACTTTCGTCAAATATATCTCCACCTCTTGGTCTATGTTTCGTAAACTCGTTTAGCTTTTAAACGTAAATATTAAAAAGAAAAGCATCACACTCCATTCACACTTAAATTGGATTCAAACGATCAGTTTCATATCCATCTCAGTTCGTATACATGATAATATTCATTAACATGTTTGATTATTA